TTCATTATAATATTTATTTATTTAAAAAGATTATTTGATTCTGTTTATTTTTTCTATCAAATTTCTAATTTTTTAGGTTATGTTTTATTTTACTTTGAATTAAAGTTATTCTTTTATATTTTATTAACTAGATTTTATTTTTAAGAAAGAAGGATTTAAAAAGATAATAATTTTTTATTCTGCTTGTTAATTAATTTTGAATTAAATTATGGATTAATAACTTTATTTATTTTATAAGAGATATATAGAAATTACATTACATTTATATAATATAATTTAAAAATTTTGAAATATAATTTAATTGATTATATGTAAACTAAAAAAAAAATTCAGTATATCTAAAATTGTGTATTGTAATTGTGTTGTCTCCCTTAACACAAACGTTTTTTTCTGTAATGTTATATCATCCTTTGTATTTTAACCCCTTTGAAGGGGTTACTAAAGAACACCCCTTTCAATCTCAAAAAAGGGGTAACTGCTAAAAAAGGGTGTTTTAGCTGGAAAGATATTGACTATATGTTTTTAATGTTTTTGATTTATTTTGATGTTTTTTTCTATAACTAATTTTATTTTATCATTATTTAATAAATAAAAATATATAAAACTATTTTATTATGAAAAAATTAGAAATTTTGTGAAAATAAAAATAAAATTCAATTCAAAATATATTATGAATTGGACAATTTTTTTCCTTATATTATTAGAATTTAGAGGAAACACCCCTTTAGTTATTGGAGTATTATAATCGAGCATAGTCTATCTTTTTAACATTTCAGTTTGCTTTTTAAAACGCATCTACCCTTTCTAGTGTTGATGGTAGATATATCCCTTCCCTTCTTTCTATTTGGAATCGGTAGGGCACACCCCTTTTAGTGAGGGATTTAGAATATTCCAGTGGAGCATGCTCCGTCTGCTAGCCGTCACAGGCTGTGTTGTAAAAGTTCTCCCTTTCTAACATTTGTGATTCTACTTCGAGGGATTGGTTGGGAATATTCTATGATTGGTCAGAGATGTTCGGGGATATATTGAGTGTACCCTGGTATAGCTCTTCTCCGTAGCAAGTATAGAAGGAAAGATCAGTTTAGCTGAGACTACCGTTGAGTCTACTTCAGAACATGTGTTACTTAATATTAATATAAGTTAAAAAATTGTCTGTGATTATACGATGTATTTATAAATATATTAATAACATGTCGGTGTGTAAATATATTAAAAAATTAATATTAATATTTCAATTATGTTTTATTTTAATATTTGTTTATATATATCTTTTGATTATATAAAAAAAATAAATATTAAATGCAAATTTTTAATTATAAATTTTATTTCTTTTATTTCTATTTTAATTCTTGTATAATATAATATTGTATTTTAATTATTTTATTTCAATTTTCTTTGTTAATAGTAGAACATTATAACATGTCATAAGTGGAATTTATTTTTTTCAGAAATAAATTTATTTGCATAAAAAAATAAAAGATTTCTTTGTGATAATTATTTTCATTTATTTTTATTTATTTTATGTTTTTTTAAAAACATTAAATATTATTATAAATATTATTTTTAATGTCAATATAAATATGTAATTAATAAATTCATATATTTGTACACCAGTTAGACATATGATTTATTCAATCATTATATACAAAAATTCTTATAAATCTTTAAAAATTGTCAATTCAGGGTATACTCAATTATGATGTGTCAGTGATGTGTAAAATTTTTAATATATACAACTAAGAATGGGTAAGTTTGTATATCTGTAAATTAAATACTCTTATATGTATATATAACTATTTTAATTTTATTTCTGTTTCAATAGTGTACATTGATAATTTTCACAATAATTGTATAACCTTTAATAATTTAATCATATATAATAATTGTTATAGATTAGATTTTTATTATAATTCTTTAAAAATTCGTAAGAGAGCGCCACTATTATAGATTTTTAAAATAAGGCTATTTTCTTTACTTATTCAAATATTAACTTAAATGGTTTTAGATAATGGTATTTGAAATAAAAACTATTTCAGTAATTTTTTATTACCAATCATTTTATTAATTATATTCAATCTTATATGTATTTTTTAATATTTCATAAATATTTATAACATAATATATAAAATTCAATGATAAATTGAAAAAAAGCAAATATTATAAAAAAATTATTAAAAATTCAATGAAAAAGTGAAAAAAAGCAAAAATTATAACGAAGTTATTACAAAAATAATTTTTTTATTAAAATTATGTTTAATAGTGTTTATATTTTTTGCAAATTTTTTTTTTCAAAAATTTATTATAATTATAAATGTGAAAATCTGATTAAAAATCAAATTTGATATTGAAAAAAAATTAGTTCTTATACTTATATAAATATAATAAAATAGTTTAATTGTTTTTTTAAAAATAAATATATAAAAACTAAATTCCATTGCATTTTTATGCATATATATATATATGCATAAAAATTTTGGTTTGTATAAAATTAAAAATATAAAAGTATTAAAGTAAAACGAATTTATATATATATAAAATAACTCAAAAATTTTATTTATTTATTTATTCATAATTTATATATTCTTTTTAATTTCATTATTTTTCACATAAGATGATTGTATTTCCTAATATATCATGAATTAAATTTTCTCCTTTTATTTATTTATTTTTTCAACTATTTCATTATTATAGGAATAGATGTACAAAATCATTACAATTATAAAAAAATTATCAATGTAAATAATGTTTTTAATTTTAACTATATTTTCATTGTTAGAATTAAATTATTAAATTATTGTCCGAATGTAAATATTTTTTTAATATATACATCGTTTGAATATTGAAACTTATTACTCGTATCGTAAATATTTATAATATTTATTATTCAATAAAGCGGAAAATTCAAAACCAAAAATATTAAATAATTCGCAAATGATTAAATATTTAAAAATATTTGAATATTTAATATTCAATATTTACATTTTTTTTTTGACTGCTCAATTAAAGAAATTGTCCAGATTTAAAAAAGAAAGATCTAAATAGTTTTACGCGCTTATTGTCAATTTGAGATACGAGAATCTAAACTATCTTAGGATTGCAAAAGGATATAATCTTCTTTTTTCATGCATCTTTGTAAATCCATGCGATATTATCTTCATTTTTTTCTTCGTTTTTAGATCGGTTGCATGCTCAGCAAAGCCGTGTTTGCATTTCTCTCTCCGGGGAAAAAATGGGGGTGGCGCGCAATTTCGAAAAGCCGATTTCAATTCCGTTTCCTTTTATACAGAAAAAGAAATCTCGAGTGCGGCTCTTTTCGAGGGGAGAACGGCCACCTGGGATTACGAGAATCGCGTGGACGGGGCTGAAAACACGTGCGAAAATCCCAAATCCTGACGTCTCTGCCCTTTGCATCGATCGTTCCTCTCTTCCTTTTTTGATATTTTTTTTTCCTCTTCCGCTTTCGTTATCAATCAAAATTTTTAATCTTTTTATTTTCAAGCCAATGAGTTATTTATTCTATGTTATATTGCCTGTTTTTATCAAGATTTTATATACAAAAGTTATTATTAAATGTTCGATTATATTTGAATGCAACTGTTTAATTATAATTATAATAAATTTAATTATAAATAAATTTTCATAAAATGAATTTTTTTTAACAAAATTTCTTTTACATACATAATCAAATCATTTCGGTCTTTATAGTTTTCGTTCTATCAATTCTTTTATGTGCTTTTTCATTTCTCTTCTTAGAAAAATTTTTTTCCCCTCTAAAAACGGAAATTACGAATACCTCGGATTCTAGAATTATTTTTTGAAATTCTTTGATGGTGTGTGATATATTTTTGATCATCGGTTTACCATTTTTTCATTCTCGCTGCGCGACGCATAAACACATTTTTATATGACACAAGAGTTGATGTATCTTTCCAGAAGTCGGTACCGGAAGGAATAACGCTCTTTGTCATGTACGATAGCGTTCTCATTGATATTCGATCAGCGTCTTTGTTCTTCTGGGACAACCCCCTTGCAACCCCCATTTCTCATGCTTTTCTCTGTTTCCTTTGTTATATATTGTCGGTGAAAGGTGTCGGAAGGTACTTGATTCGCGAATGCTTTAAACACCTCACGAAACATTTGTTCCTTTCAGTTTTATAAAAAAATTTTAGAAAAACCTTCATGTGTATACGAGTTTTGAACCATTTATAGAAAAAGAAACAGAGAATAAAAATGAAATCGATAAAAGTCGAAATTAAATCGAGTCGATTTTTATCACGAATCGCGCGGAATTAATTTCCATAATGAAAAAAAAATTATAAATAATTTCGAGCGAATATAAATAAAAATTCAACGAATGAAAACAAACCGATAGTATTCCCTTTCTTTGTCACATTTCTTTTGCCCCGTAGATACGAGCATCATCGATACGATTCGTACGATCCGTGTTCATGAGGATTGTCCTTAAATGCGTGTCGTAAACGGAGGAAGAAAGAAGGAGGAGCAAAAGGAGAAACGAGGAGAGGAGGCGGTGGTCCGTCGTGCTACTTCTACTTTGTAAGGGTGCCTCGTGTTTCGCGGGGCCAGGTTCCGGGCCAATAAAAACTTTACAGCCCCGTAATGAATGCAAGAAATAATTATCTCATGAATACATTAGTTTTACTATCCTCCGACATGGACACGGACCGTAAAGCCGGCATTTGATGTATCTCGACCCAAAGCCGATTTTCAGTGCGTGTCCGTTTGCTCACGATCCTTAATCGTTCGTCTTTCTTCCTCTCTTCCCTTTTTATGCCGCCCCTCTCTTCCTCTTTCACCGTCTTGCCCATTAGCACTAAGTCGATAGAAACGCGAGCCACTGGATTGTCT